TATATATATATATATATTAGGGCTGCACGATATATCAAAATTATCAAAATATCGCAATATGCATATCGCAGGGGCGTGCGATATCTGAATCATTTTAATAATAGGCTACTTGAATCAAAACGTTGCAAAATGTAAAAGTTTTAGTTCGAGGCATATAGCAGAGAATTGCTTGATTTTAAAAAGAGTTAAGTGCAATAAGTTGCAGAAAGTCTTGCTGTCTGACTCACACCTGAAGCACACAGAGAGACCGAGTTGATTCGTCTTTCGCATCTCCTCCTCATGTTTGAACAGACACATACACACAGAATTGTCAATAGTACCCGTCTCGACGATCATTCTCGTAAATGCAGTCGGTTATGTTTTAAATGAATGTAAACAGCTGAGAAAGATATCGGATGTGTATCATTATACTGGATCCGTGCAGTCGGATTTAAAGAGACAGCAGCTTATAAATACCTGCTGCTGAATGTCACTAAAGTTAATCAAACAACAAAACAGCTATAACAAAGATTAATCTAAAATTAATCCATACAGTGAACACTATGCAGTGTTATTTTACACTTAATTATTAAATTTCTGTACCTGAATACTACTGTTTATATTAGCTATGCTTGTAAATTGTGTATTTCTTTTTTTTCTTTTTCTTTCTTTTTTTTACTGACTGTTCACTTGCCTTTAATCATGTTTGAACTTTCTCAGACTATAGTTTTTGCTGTGGTATATGAAGAAGTACTTAAAGTGTATGGAAAGCAGAGTTGCAATGATATAAAATTAGTGTCATTATTATTAAAATTTTTTTTTGTATGTTCACACTGATGTTAAAATTACAATTTCTGATTTGTGACATTACTTTTTATGTAATGCTAAAACACTGCTGGTCACTTTCAGAAGTTGTAGTGATTCTTTCTTTTCCAAGAAAGAATGTGAAACAAATTGGTTATATAATTTTCATTTTTAAATATTTAAAAATATAATTGAAATTGATTTTACACACTTTAAGCAATATTGCATCGCATATCGAATATCGCATTTTTTAACAAGGTATCGCATATCGATATCGCATTTTTCTTCAGTATCGCACAGCCCTAATATATATAAGTATGTATGTATATATATATATAGCGCAGTGTCACCCTGTATCTATTTATATATTTCTTTATTAATATTTTAATATATTATCTTATATTAACCATTTGCACACACAAGCATTATCCGGCTTCGCTCCTCCCGACCGCAGACGCAGGTTTACAAGCCACTTTTTCCTGCGTTTTTCAGTCAATTTCTTGACGTTTGACTTCTTGGCTCCTTGTGGTTTCTCGGTTTGGCCGATTTGAGCATCCATAAACAACGCAAAACACTGGCATTTTGAGTTTCTGCTAGTGATTCCTATGGAGAAAAATCACTTCCTGCCCTCCAGCTGCATTTTGCGCGTCATCAGAATCACGTGATTGCAAACAACCTATTTAAGCTTCCACTCATAAGCAAGCACACACATTTCTTATCTATCTAGCTATCTAAATCATGCTAGTAACATGCTAATCATGCTAGTAACTTGATAATCATGCTAGTAACATGCTAATCATGCTAGTAACTTGATAATCATGCTAGCAACATGTTAATCATGCTAGAAACATACTAGCGACATGCTAATCATGTTAGAACACATGCTAGCAACATGTTAGTAACATCTAATTGTGCTAGTAACATGTTAATCATGCTAGAAACATGCTAGTAACTTGATATTCATGCTATTAACATGCTAATCATGATAGAAACATGCTAATCATGCTAATCATGCTAGAAACATGCTAACAACATGCTAGTAAATTGTTAATCATGTTAACAACATGCTAGTAACATGCTAATCATGATAGAAACATGTTAGCAAACATGCTAATCACCCTAACAATATGCTAATCATGCTAGTAACTTGCTAACCATGGTAGTAACATGCTAGTAACTTGCTAATCATGTTAACAACATGCTAGTAACATGCTAATCATGATAGAAACATGTTAGCAAACATGCTAATCACCCTAACAATATGCTAATCATGCTAGTAACTTGCTAACCATGGTAGTAACATGCTAGTAACTTGCTAATCATGTTAACAACATGCTAGAAACATGGTTAAATCATGCTAGTATCATGCCAATTAATGCTAAATCATGCTAGCATCATGTTAGCATTATGGTAAATCTTGCTAGCAACATGGCTAAACCATGATAAATCTTGCTAGCATCAGGTAGGTAGTCTTAGGTAGGTAGTTTCTAGGTAGTCTTAGCCAATTTGATCTGGTCATACTTTATTTGAACTGGTTTTAGGTTGTTTTAGCTGGTCTTAGCTGTTTTTGGTAAACAATATATATCTATATACCTGTAAATTAAAAAAAAAACTTTTCGAACTTAAAGCTTTTACAACTATTTACAGTTTTTAAAACTTTTTCGAACTTTCAGGCTAGGCTTTCTCAAGCCAACTTCATCTGCGAACTTTACTCATCTAGTTTATTTTATTCTGGTAGCTACAGGAAAAATGAAAAACAATATTATATTTGACACTATTTTTTTATTTTACATATTCAGCCTATTAGACTGATTTGTGAAGGATCATGTGACACTAAAGTCTGGAGTAATGGCTGCTGAAAATTCAGCTTGGTCATCACAGAAAATGAGGTACATTTTAAAATATGTTAAAATTTAAATTGGAAACTTTTTTTCTCAATTTTACTGTTTTACTGTATTTTTGATCAACAGCCTTGATGAGCATAAGCATAAATTATTATTACCTTATTAATGGTAATGCATATGTGAAACACAAAAGGAGATTTTGTGTGTCCTTTTGGTTTCGCAAAATGTCCAAGCAGCTCTTTTCCACACTGAAGTAGACAGTGAACCGTGGCTGTCAAAAAAAAATTACTTCAAAGTGTCACTTATGATTTGTTTGCTATATTTTTTGAGCTATTTAAGTCTTTTGAATGCAATAGCTTTGTTTAAGGACCAAACCAAAATTTTAGTTGATAGACCGCAGTAATGAAAAATAAATTTCTCATATTTATGTATTTATTTTTAATTTCTGCAGGTTTGGTATATTATTATGTTAAAAAAATAAAAGAAAAAAAAAATGTGTTTGAGGGTAAAAACAAACAAAAAACATAAATTTTAATTCAAATAAGCTATTGTAATAGGTTAAATGATTATATAAAATATAACCAAATGATTCCCATTACTGTATACACAGTATACACCACAAGACCTCATTACACTTATCACAAGAATCTCAAAATGCTCCTTTAACCACATCATGTACAACTGTATGAGCATGAAGCTGGCATAATTACCCAACAAATCTGCTTTGCGGCATATACCCGGCCACTCATGGACATATTTTGGCATGTCTGTTGCCCTTCTTTCAATACATTGTGTATCGTGATTACAATTCAGTGTGATTCATCATGTCTCTCTTTGTTAAATTGCTTGTTTGTTTTTCTGCATTGTTCCTAATTGGGCATGCTGTCAAAGAATGGGCTGCTAAGCAAGAGTGAAAAAAAGGTTCTTAATACAGAATTACAAACAAATTAGCATAGTAGATAAATGACAAAATCAACAAAAACAGAAGCCCATAATGAATTTCTCTCTCTTTCTCAGGCAGAGCAGGCCAGTTTGTCTCACGTGGTGGAGCTGTTGTCTCTCATCCTGTTAACGGCGATCTGGGCGATCTGTCCTCGGGACAGTTTAGCAGTGCTGGGCCAGTGGATACAGGGCAAACTAGTGCAGGTGACAGCTGACCTTATGATCTCTCTCTTTCTCTTTTTTTCAATTGATTCATAATCATTTTCAACATGTTTCCACTGGTTGCGGCCCTTTGTCTTGCTAGTCTCGAACCAATGTAAATCTAATATGGTTACATAGAATATAAAAAAATATATAGTTTATTTTAAAATATTTTACGGGTTATATATTTTTATGTAAATGCTTGCATATATTATAATTTAATAATATGACTTTTGTATATTTTGTGTGTGTAGCTAGACAGACAGACATATATATATACACACATACATACAGGCTGACACAGACAGACAGATAGATAGATAGACAGATAGATCTATGTGGAAATATTTTTTTCAGAATTCTTTAATATAAATTTTAAAAGAGCAGCATTCATATGAAATAATATGAAATATGAATTCATATTTTTTTGTAACATTTTAAATGTCTTTACTGTCACTTTTGATCAATTTGATGCATCCTTGCTGAATAAAAGTAGGAATTTATTATAATAGTTATTATCTCTCTCTCTCTCTCTCTCTCTCTCTCTCTCTCTCTCTCTCTCTCTCTCTCTCTATATATATATATAGTTTGTTCAGAATTAAGTATAAGACATTTAAGGGACTGAGTTTAGGTTGGGTTTGTCCATTAATGATGCGAACACTCCTTAAATATTGATTCTAAAATCCCTAAAAGACCGTTTAAACATTAATAATTATACTCATCTGCTCGAGCTCAAAGAAACCTTCTCAAGTACTCTCTCGCCACCATTGTAAAACAATAACAATATCTCAGAGGAGATCTTATTTGGGTTTCTAAGGACTTCAATTTGAGGTTAGTTAAAATTCAGCTACATTTATTTGTTCTCTAAATGGATATTGAATTAGCATTTTCTGGATCACTGTACTGTGCGAAACAAAGGCCCACTTTCAATTTAATTGTACTTTGGTTTTTTTATGGTGTTTTTCTTCTAAGATACTGTGTACTCTCTCGCTCTCCTTTTAATGTGGATATTTTCATCCCTTTCTTTCCTTGTTTTTTATCATCTTTCCCCTGTTACATTTAAAATAAATGACATTTTAATGGATGGGCTTTTTATCTCCTAGTCATTTTGTTCTCCAAATATGGTTAATTTTATTCTGTCCATCTTCCTCTGTTTACTCAATATAGCTTGTGTGTGCTCTGTCAGAATAGCTCATTTAACTGCATATTTTCTCTCTCATTTTCTCTGTCTGTGTTGTAGTTCTTATTTGACCGGCCCTTCAGTCGTAAGCTGGAGGCAGAGGCGGACCAGGTTGGCCTGCAGCTGGCTGCCAAGGTACTGCAGATATTATTATTATTATTATTATCAAGGTTCAATTCCAAGGGAGCACATATTGAATGTCCACCTAAAATGCACTATAAGACAAGATTCACAGTGTAAGCAGCTCATATGTTTCAGAATTTACAATCCATGGATAAGCAGCGTAGTGCTGTGTCGCAGAAGCATAGCTGCAAGTAGACGTTCGGCGTTGAGCATGTTTAACACCCCATAACTGAATTATCAACCTTAACCATTTTCTGAAAACCATCTGTGTCAGGCTTGATAAAAATTCCACAAACTTGACACAAACAGCATTTTCTGATCAGGAAATCAGACTAAATGAAGATGATTTAAGCTGCTTATAGCTCAGTGTTATTTTAGTATTGTTTATATTCTATTAAGTATTAGTTTTAACTGGTATTTATTAATGTTTTGAATTTAATTTCAGCATTATTTGAATTACTGAATTTTTTTAAATAGTTTTAGTTTCAGTTAACAAATAACTGTTAAAGCTAGGGTTTGGGTTTTAGGTTTTGTTTCATGTAGATTATGTAAATTAATTAGCATTTGGATGTAAATGTGATATAATACATGAATAAATATACTCTAACCAATCACTGCTGATTTTTTTTTTTCAGGGATGCTAAACATTTCATTACACATTTCACCTCTATGTCACTCTAAATAAAAGCTGTATAACTAATAATTAGTAACATCTTATTACTAGGATAAATTAAAACTGTGAACAACAGGATCCTACATGACCTCTAGATGGCACCGTTTCCTTACAAACTGCTTGACGGAAGCATTTCTCTGTATGTGGCAGTGATCTGATTCACGGTGTAGCGCTCTTCCTGACAGCATGTCTCCTGATCCCATGCTTGGCATCATTATGGAGAAACCGCCAATTCCCTTCTATCTCTTATAGTAGTAATAACGGGCCGCCTGCTGCTCGTAAACGAGCCCAGATCCGGCCTGCCACAGCCGGCTCGGTGAAGGACACTGGCACGTTGCTGTGGTAACAATGCGAGGCTTGCTAGACTAGTCATGAGTCATGTTGTCCATGATCCAACGTGCTCTCAGCTCTAGCTAATGACGTTGTCCAGAGCTTTGAGCGCTCATGGGTGTGTGTGTGTGTGTTTGTCATCTCCCTGTTTGCTTCCTTTGATGGTGACGGAGCTTTATCATGCCTGAAAATCATCTCTGTATGTGTATTTATTGAGATTGGTGTGTGTTTCTGTCAGGCGTGTGCTGACGTGAGGGCGGGCCCAGTGTTTTGGCAGCAGATGGAGATCTATGATCAGTTGAGAGGCGAACCCACCATCCCCGAGTGGCTGTCCACACACCCTTCCCACCAAAACCGTGTCAGACAGTTGGACCGCCTCGTCCCTGAGGTAAAGCACACGAAAGCAAATACATGCATCATTAGACAATGTTACATGAGTGGAATCTTTCCACACAAACGCAAACTGTAACATGTACAGTGGTGTATAGCAGCATTAAATTTATGGCTGAGATGGTAACAAACTTTTCAAATGGTTAAGGAATTGATCTAAAAGAAAGAACCATCAAAGCAATGGTCTAGCATAGTTGTTTTTAACCATTCTAAGCTCTGGTGCCAATGCATCATTTCTAGTCCCATGTTTTTCTGTCCTTCCTTGTAATTGTAATTTTTCTTAAAAAAAAAAAAGTGGCAAACATATGGACTGTGGAGGACTAAAAGTATTGCTTAAAAAGAAAAATCAATCATGAAATTAAATGTAAATAAATACATTTTCAAATAGTTTATTTTAAATATTCAATATTAAAGATTATTTGATTGATATTTAAAATCTAGTTAAATTTAACAGTAAATTGATAAATATTTTTAAGTGCATAATTTCAGTTGAATTTTATAAAGCATTTACAGATTACTTTTCTTTATCCATTTGCCAATCGACAAAATGTCATTGGACAGTTCACACATGGAAGTTCGTTGGTTCCTCCCACATCTCAACTATCCAGTGGCATTTTACACAACCAACCAATTGCTAAGAAAAACAGTTGGCAAATGGATTTAGAAAATCTAATAAAAAAAATTGCATTTAAAATGGACTTACTAATGTACTGTTATTGTTAATATATTTAACTTATATTTTAAACAAATTAATGAAATAAAGATTTTTAAAAATGTATATTTGGCAACTCAAACGTTGGAAATGAACAGATTTCAACTCTTCTGCTGGAGGGGAGAACCAAACGCAAGAGCCATGAAAAGGCCTGGAGGATCCATGAATCGCAGAGACGTCAGAAAACTCAACATGCAAATGGTGGAGTCCTTAGATCAGTACTTGCAACCACAGGAGAAAGCCTTCATAAGTGATTGAGGCTAAATAATTCACCATGTGAGCCGTTATGCAGCACCAAAATGTCATGCTTGATTCTGAACAAATAGCAACATTCTTGATGGGAGTCATCCTAATTTGAAAAGTGGATTGAGAAAGTGTTTATAGTCCAGGTGTCACCTGCACTAGTTTGCTATCCACTTCCCCAGCATAAATTATTTACAGTTTGGATATAAATATGAGCCACCCCTCCTGGAAATGAGATTTCATAATTATTTGTATGCATTAATTCTCAGTGGTGCACTCAAGATAATCATTTTACAAGTTAAGGCACTGTTGCCGGCCCAAAGTTTTTCATCTTTGTTTGCTGTAGCTAGGTAACTCAGGAGGAGAAGACTAGCTTAATTTGTTTCATTGGTTTTACTACTAGAACTTAACATAGACAGATCAGCACTTGTGTCTTGTGACATGGATGCATTGTGGAAAATGCAAAGAATGCGAGATCTTTCCATTCTCATATGAGAAAGAACAATTAACCCAAGACATTTATGGAAATAAATTGGCAATAATAATTACATTACCATTTGGAGTTGGTAAGATTTTTTTTCTTCTAAATAAATGCAGCCTTGCTCACCAAACATGCATTTATTAGATCAAAAATACAGTAAAAACGTCTGTAAAATATTGTTATATTGTGAAAAATATATATATTCCTGTGATGCAAAGCTGAAATTTCAGAATCATTACTCCAGTCTTCAGTGTCACATGATCCTTCAGAAATCATTCTAATATGCTGATTTGATGCTCAAGAAACATTTTTTGTTATTATCAGTGCTGAAAATAGTTAAAACTGATAATTTTTAATAGTATGCTTTGTGGAATAGAAAGTTTAAAAAAACAGCATTTATTTGAAATGGAAATCTTCTGTAACATTATAAAAGCCTTTACTGTCACTTTAGATCAATTTATTCTATTCTTGTTGAATAAAAGTAATAATTTTTCTTAAAAAAAAAAAAGAACCTACTGCTCCAAAACAGTTAAACGGAAGTATATTATTAATGCTAAAATTTTTTAGAATGTGTATTATGTTTTTTTATTGTTACAGTATAATCATTTAGTTATAATAGATCAAATAGAACAAATCGTGTTCTGGATAATAATTCTATTTTAAAAAAACGTATCTGTCATATAAAAGCTTCCTGTGTTGGTGTGTGCTGGATGTGTGTAACTGTAATGTTTATGGAAGTATCTTGTGATGTTAGGCAGCAGATGGGAAATTATAAATCATTTTCACACTTTGAAGAGCCTTAAAAAAAAAATAAGGTCAGGCACTGATAAACAACTACTATAGAATGTTGAAATATAATTTGCAATGTTACTTACACAAAAATTCCCTCAGATTTCACAGTTACAGCGTCAGCAGAGAAAGGCAGATGGTATAGTTACTGCATCTACCAGCAGGGGCTAACAGATGATGCTAACCAGCCAACTCTTGACCGCTTGCTTTAAACAAAGAGCTCAGGTTAATTGTGTGAGTGACATGTGACCAAGTATGGTGACCCATACTCAGAATTAGTGCTCTGCATTTACCCATCCAAAGTGCACACACACAGCAGTGAACACACACACACCGTGAACACACACCCGGAGCAGTGAGCAGCCATTTATGCTGCGGCGCCCGGGGAGCAGTTGGGGTTCGGTGCCTTGCTCAAGGGCACCTCAGTCGTGGTATTGAAGGTGGAATGTTACTTACACAAAAATTCCCTCAGATTTCACAGTTACAGCGTCAGCAGAGAAAGGCAGATGGTATAGTTACTGCATCTACCAGCAGGGGCTAACAGATAACCTTGAGCCAACTCTTGACCGCTTGCTTTAAACAAAGAGCTCAGGTTAATTGTGTGAGTGACATGTGACCAAGTATGGTGACCCATACTCAGAATTAGTGCTCTGCATTTACCCATCCAAAGTGCACACACACAGCAGTGAACACACACACACCGTGAACACACACCCGGAGCAGTGAGCAGCCATTTATGCTGCAGCGCCCGGGGAGCAGTTGGGGTTCGGTGCCTTGCTCAAGGGCACCTCAGTCGTGGTATTGAAGGTGGGAGAGAGCGCTCTACATTCACTCCCCCCACCTACAATCCCTGCCGGTACGAGACTCGAACCCACAACCTTTGGGTTATGAGTCCGACTCTCTAACCATTAGGCCACGACTTTAACATACTGCTTATAGAGTGAACTGTAGACTGTAGAGCAATACAGGAACATGCTCTCTCCCCGTCACACCCCAGTGGCTCTACAAAATGGCTGTTTTTTATACGATGCTAAGTTGTGGCAGAAGGATGCGTGAATGTATGAATTTAAGTGGCATGCAGGAGCCTTACTTAACCTTGAGCTTGAACTCTTAACAGTCCAGCTTGTGTACTTGCACACTTCAAACACAGAAGGAGCAGATGGCCAGGACTCATATTGTCCATCAACTATAATGTGTGTGTATTTCTGTTGAGTGGAAGCTATTACTCCTCTGGGAAGTTACTTTAAAACGCCCTCCATCTTTCTCTGTTCTCACCCTCTTTAACCTGAGCCAATGGAGACTCGTCCTCCGTGTGCCAGCTAATGAGAATTACCATAGTGGAGTGTGTGTGGACTCCTCTCTGTCTCCTGATGCCTTCTATATGAATACAAGTGGATTTTGTAGTCGTCGTCTTTGTATAAGAGTGACTGTTTGAGAGTGGCTTGTCTTGACGAAGTTAGCATGTTGACACGTATGTAATTGCGGTGTTTTATGTGTGTCAACTGGGTGAAGACCTGCTTGTAGTGTTTCATATAAGTATGAAAAAGGTGTAAATTGGAGTTTTGTTGCTTAAAGTCCGTGTCTGTTAGCTTTGAGGTAATTTAACTGTATATGCTAGTGTATTTCTAAAACCAGTATTCAATTATTTAATTTAATTTAATTAAAATATTACAATTGTATTTAAAGTGAGAACTAATATTTATGTATATTTTTAATATTTGTCACCTACTGTATCATAATTGTTTTCACTGTAACAGTCTTGCTACCATATTTTAAAAATGTAATTGATATATATTTTTATATATTTATTATACATATTTAATATATATTTACACATTTATATTTAGAATTCAACCTAGTTTCATCCTTTGCTGCCATTGTTTTTGAAGCAAAAAAATGAATAGGTAATTTATGAACACAAAATAAATAAATCAGTAGAAGTGGCATAGAAATCTGTGATCATAAAAATATTCAGAAATTTGATTGTAACTTAGCAGCACCAAGTAAACGATATATATACAGACAGAACTGTTTTGTTTTTTATTTGTAAAATCAATACTTGTTACTTTTGAAGAATGCGTCTGCTTTTTTAAATGTCACATTGATCGTAAGTATGCAACTGACGTGTCCCTCTGTGGGTAATTGTTCTCAATAATCTTTGTTGCAGTCACTCTTTCACCAAGTTTAATTTGTTTTGTAGAGTTTCCCTAATGGCCTGATTTTCAAACATTGCGGTGTTGCTTAAAATTGCCCGTCTTCCTGGTTTGAGTGAGTATTTAGCAGCACAGAGTTTTCCCCAGGGCAGATGGTTCAGAATGATAATTTAACTAGAAAATATTTTACATTAAGTGTCCTTTGTGCTGGTACTGGTTGTTCATGTTTTAAAGTGCATTATTGATCCAGTGTTATGAGGGCTGTTTCTCCATTACCCCTAATGGAGGTCAAAGGTCATAGTTCAGAGGTCACAGACACAATGCAGTAGGTGCCATGTTTTTGTCAAATCAGTCTTTGTAAATGAGTCTGGATGTCTTTAATGTAGAAGATATCCTGGTCAGTGTTCATCCATCCATCTTTCCATTCAATAACTACTCCGAACCATCCATCTAGATTTTTTATATTCACATCATTCCATCAATCCATTTCTTTGAATACCTGCTCCAGTTCATCCAAATGTTACAGTGGTTATAGAAAATTATCCCCCTTTAAAATAATCAAATTTTGTTGCTTTGCAGCCTGAAATGAAGACGGACACAGTTTTTGTTTTATCCAGCTGTATTTACTCAGTGCAACTTATAACATCCAAGTGAAAGTGAATATAACACCAACATGTCAGAAAAAAAACAGAATTACTGAATGAAAAAAGATCACCCCCTTGTGTCAGTATTTTGTTGAACCACCTTTTGCTTTAATTACAGCTTTTAGTCTGTTGGGATATGTTTCTGTCTCTACTAACTTTGAACATCTAGGTCAGGGGTCGGCAAGTAAGTTTGGCATCGGGCCGGAAAAAGTTTTCGCCACTACTTGGTGGCCCAGAACATAGTCAAAGGATAATTTAAGAAATTAATTGATGAAAAATGCAACTAGAATTGCCTGTGCCAGACTGTTACCGTGTCTGTTGTAACTGGTAGTGAGCTGTTTCTCTGTGTTAAATCCTGTAGTAGGACAGTCATTAACAAAAAGTCACATTTGTGTGGTGGTGTCCGGGTTTTACACTGGATAAATTAATAAGGCAGAGTAGTGACACGTAACCTGGCAAGTATCTTCATTCACCAACTTGCAACACTGACTGCCTTACTAAAACACACATATGTGGGAGATGCGGAATGGATAAAAAATGACTCAAACAAATAAAAGAGGATTTAATAAGCCCATTAATGGCATGTTTGAGTCATGCTCTTAACAAACTGTTTTATTTCCTCTTTCCATATTGTGAATAATAAATGTATAATTTTAATTTACTTGTTACACAATGGAGCCTAACTTATTGTAATAATTATTTGACGTAGCCTACTTTTATGTTTCAAAGTTTCACTGTTAGTATTTTCACACCACACATTTCATGACGGCTATTGTGGAGGTGTCTAGCGATCCACAGACTCTTTCAGAACTTTTCAAATTTAAAGCTCTCAATTCATCTCAAAATAAAACATTGCTGCAAAAATTTTCTCGTACTTTTATTTTGAAGGCAAAATCACTAAAGACGAAGTGATTGTGAGTAACTGTTGCTGTCATGACAGTTCTATTTTAGAACCAGCCGCTATCAAAATAATCTGGCTGCGGGCGCAGGCCAGATATTATTGCTGGCGGGACAGTTTTGGCCCGCGGGCCGCCTGTTGCCGACCATTGATCTAGACTTTGCAATATTTGCCCACTCTTCTTTGCAGAACTGCTCAAGTTCAGTTCAATTTGATGGTGACTGTGTGTGGACTGCAGTCTGAAGTCTGGGCTCTGATTAGGCCATGCAAGACATTCACCTTTTTCTCCTTCAGCCACTGTGTGCTCAGTTTTTCTGTGTGTTTTGGGTCATTGTCATGTTGGAAGGATAAACCTTATTGAAAATAATTAAATTTTAGTCTCTGCCTCTGAATATTCAAGGTGCGTTTTGGCAAATCTCAGTCGAGACTGCATGTGGCCTTTCTTGAGACCCACCCATACAAGCCACATTTGTGGAGAATTTGTGCTATTGTTGTCACACACAAGGGGTCCGTTGGATAGAGGAGATGGAGAAACTGCTTGTGAAAGTTTTGCAATAACGCGACTGTCTGTATAATGTGTCTGCATGAGTGTAGAAAGCTGCTAGCACGCTAGCTAACATGTAAACATTGCTGAAACGTCAATGACGATCTGCTGTGTGAGATTTATTTATTTATAATATTTTTTCCAATCCATTCAGGTTTCATATCACTATTTCTATACATCCATCTTTTGAATAGCTACTTCAGTCCATACATCCAACTATCTAGATTTCATATTGCTATTTCCAGATTTAATTTCACTATTTCCATATTTCATATCACTATTTCCATCCATCCAACCATCCAAATTGAATGTCACTATTTCCATCCATCAATCCTTAAAAAGCAGTGTCACCTGGGTAGAGAAGAAGAGTTGGAAGGTTCGTAGGTCAAAAGTCAAAGCTTAAATCCATCTCCATTAATCTGTCATTTTCTGTGTTGTTATAGGCTTTGGAGCTCCGCGCAAGCTGTGACTGTCCTGCCCTCCCCAAAGCTGACCCCCGTGTCATTTTCCACCAGGCTGTTAAATTGCTTCTGGACAATGCCAAAAAACAAGAAAATATTGCACAAGAGAAAAAGAATGAGAAAGAGAGAGCTGGAGTCATATTGCCGTTCCCTCAATCCCCTCCTGTCCTGACTCAAGGGTCTCAGCCACAGCGGGGGGGAGTGCTGGCCACATCCGCTCTGCCACAAACTCTGCTTAGTAAATGAGACTTGATGAATCATGAGTGACAGGGACAAATTCAAGCTTTCCTTTTCACTTCTCTTTTTCCAGTGCAGTAGCTCTGAACAAGGCCTGAGAGGGTCATTGGATAGAACCAGGCAGTTTTTTGATCCATTTGATTAGCTGTCACTTTGATACCTACGTCAGTTAGTCTGTGAGATGTTTTAAGTGGGAGTATGTAGATAATTTGTGTTTGATTCTTGAGTTTATGCTCCTCCAAGCATCCACGGCAGTGCAGTCATGTTAATAATGGAGCAATTATAAATGGGCTTTTGATTGGTTTTAATTATGTTATTAGCATAAGACCCTTGTGAAGCAGAATGCATTATGGTGTACAGTACATTATTCATCAAACATCTGCCTCTGCTTTAATGTCCCCTATAGGTTCCAGGCTGTAATGAACTGCTGCGTAGCAGCTAATGTCACTGTGTTTGATGCTGTGCGGAGCTTTGGACACACTGCAATATTTAGAGGATTTATCAATGGCCAGCTGGCGCTAAATGAGCCCAGTGCTTGTGTTCTTGACAAGTGTTGAGTTTATTCTAAATGCACTCTGTGTGAATACTGTGACCGTAAAGAATATGACTGTAATTACGCACAAGATAAATGATTCTACCAGTCTTGGGTCTCCAGCATTTTTCTTTAAAGGCACGGTCACATTAGCATTTTGCGTACAGAAAAGGTCTATTGTCCATTGTCAGTAGTGTAGTGATGCATGAAGCACCACTCACACACAAGTCTCTTTTAAACCAAGCAGCTATTAATTGGTCAGTGTGGCAAATTTGCAACACCTGGACATGAGGGAAATGTGTTTAGGAGTCTTTTTCACCCTCATTTGAAACCTCCAATTATGCAGACGTGTATTGAAATGACTGGATTTTGTGACCAATTTAAACAAATGTGAAATCTGCATGAGGAATTATTTTGTCCTCTTACAAAACTCCCAGTTATGCAGATACATATTACCGGTACTTGATTTCACCAAGCAATGGTAGATGTTACATCACCTTAGTGTTTCAAAGTGACTGGTACTTGGTTTAATTATACATTGTTATATAATTGCTGGGCAATAAGTTACATACCCATTTTATTTTCATAATGCAGGGATCACCAACCCTGCTTCTGGAGAGCTACCATCCTGCAGACTTCAGTTCCAACCCTGCTCCAACACACCTGCCTGTAATTATCAAGTAACCCTGAAAACCTTGGATGGGTTTGGAGCTGAAATCTGTAGGACTACAACTCTCCAGGATTAGACCTCTGCCATTATGTGACTTAAAGGGGTCCTATTATGCTCTTTTACAAAGTCTTGATTTTGTTTTGGGGGTGTACTAGAACATGCTCTCATGCTTGGTGGTTCGAAAAACGCATAATTTTTCACATAATTTACATTATTAAAATACTTTTCTCCCCAGCCTGGCACAAACGGCTCGATTAGTTCCGGCTTTGATGAAGGTCTGCCTTCCGAAAAACAAAATGTGTTATGATTGGTTAGCTGTCCCAGTGCGTTGTGATTGGCGAACAGCTCAGACGGTGTTTCATTACTGCCACGCCCCTTGCTCCGTCTTTCAACAAAAACTTTTGGGCGAATCCGGCACTGTACTCACTCGTGTTGTGGAAGCTGTCCTCAGTAAAATGCGCAGCACACAATAGTAAATTGGGGTTATAATGCTCAGGAACAGAGTTAAAAAATAAATTGCAACCACTGTTTCCTGACATCATCCGCTTTCGGAAGCCCAAACAAAGACGTTTGGGCACGGAGGTGAAAAAAACAGCGTTTCAGGTGGTCGCACACCGGACGAGAAGCGCAGCGTCGCGCCACGTCTTTAAAATTCAAATACTTTATTTTCTATGAGTGTAGGCACACCGGCGGCTCCATTCGGCTTCTGTCCGCAGCGCCCAGCTACGTCGTGTTATACTTGTAAGAATTGTTCTAGACATGCCGAAAATTTTACGCTACAGCACAGCAGCTCTTCTTCTTCGTTTTCTTTGACGCACTAACTCTGCAGCAGCACTTCTTCGTCGTCGTCTTGTCTCATGCGCTCATTCAACCAAGCGTTCTAACCACAACCTCGCCCCTCCCTACCCCCCCAACCATTCAAATTTTTGTAGGCGGGAATTCTTAGTAATGATATTCCAATGAGCCGCTTTGTGATATCACAAAGCCCAGAAAACAAACGCTGTAGTCCAAACAAGCCGTTCGTTGTAGTTCTTGAAAAGGGATTTAAAAAAAAACGAAATATCTCCCTTTGGAGTGGACTTTGAGATTTGTAACTTTCTAGGTCTTTTTTATGCCCAAACATACACACTACACACTGACTAAAATTAAAAAAGTGAAAAAGCATAATAGGGCCCCTTTAAAGTCGGCATGAAAAGGAAGTTGCCATTGTCTTTTCTTCTCTGCTGTGAAGTATATTCGAGTGAAACGGCATCTGAAATGAGAGGGCAGGACTTGAATTCGTCCTTCGGGAATTGATTGGATTGTTGGAAGTTGGCTTTAAGCCGGGCTCACACTGTGCGATTTTTTTAAAAGTCCTTTAGGATTGTACTTGTCAGACTGTACGAACATGATGATCATGTCACACTGTGGGATCTCAGTTGTCATTAAAGTCAGACTGTACGACAGTCAAGACGCATTAAAAATGGGTGCGCGCAAGAAAACTTGTCCGGAGTTCTACATTATCAACCCACACACGTTCAGTGACTGCGAGCTGCATTGCACGCGGGGCTGTAATGTTGGCTATCATTAAAAGTATATGAATGGCGGCAATAC